AGTACTATGGAAGAGAGGAATTCATGAAACATTTTCTGCTTTTATGCTAAATTGCTACTAATTGGTAATTTTTTATTCAAAACCTATTTGTGCACATTTGTTTTCTAATAACATCTAATAATGTTTGAAGGAACTGCAAAGAAAAATTGCAGCTTATAAAAATGGGAAAAGTGGCGTAGATAGGTCCCAGTAAAGCATTCTCTTGTATTTATGGTAACATGTTATCTTACAGGAGGCCTTCGATATACCCATGACCCCTCCAGTGATCGAGGATCCATGGTGAACAACCAGAATGGTCTGTCTCCATCCCAAATGGAACACAACCACAGTCTCATGAGCAGTGACAGTAAATTAATTCCATCAGCAGGGGGCTCCCTTCCACCAGTCAGCACGCTTACTGCTCTGCACAGCCTGGACCATGGACAGCACACAATTGGACAGACACAGAATCTCATCATGGCTTCACTCCCCAGTGTCATGACAATTGGCACAGATGCAACACTTGGACCAGCATTTGGCAATTCTGGACCATCAACATTAGTAATAGGTAAAAATATACTAAAAACCTTTAAGGTAAAAAAATATCATCAATGGCCAGTATAAACTCCAAACAGCATATTTTGTGCAAAAATATAAAATAAATGCAAGGATGAAAAAAGCAGGTTACAAACCTATCTGTATCGCTAACTTTTCCGGAGGTCATTGTGACTTTTGCTGATTTTTATTTTCAGTGATAGCACAGTGCAAGGGTATTCATACCTAATTCCCTCACTTTACAGAACAACAAATCCTACATTTGTCATTTACTCTATCTGATGACCCAATGCCAGGTTCCTCAATGCACCCACCTGTATGCAGGCTGAATACAAGTGACCTCGGCGACATCACCGAGATCACTTGTACAAAACAAGTGGCGGCTTCCCCGCTGTACATTTAGCCCTGCTTGCCCAAAGCAGGGCTAAATGTAGAAAACAACTACCCGCACGGGGCCTCGATCTGCATGCCCCGGGCGTCAGGAGATAGGAATTCCACAGCCCTGCTGCCCCTCTACTCCCTGCTGCCCAGAGGCCGGGCCTTGGTTGGCCTTGTGGGAAATTTGGCCCTGCATATGTTGTCCTTTTTATGTCAAATCGCAGAAACACAACCTTTTTTTTTTTCATTTTGGGCCCCCTTCACATGTATGCATTGCAGTAACACGTGATAAAGTATGTGACTGACTGTGTGATGCCATAATACATGGCACTTAGTGCAGTGCATTGCTTTGCCTTTCATTTAGCACCCCAATGCACAAGTACAGTAGCTGCCAAAGGCCCTGCAGTACGTTAAAAAATGCTACCAGTCCTTTTCTTTTCTTTTGTCAGTTGCTGTGTGTTTGAAGGACATTCAAATGAATGGGCTTTCTTAATGCAATGCATGCTAATTTGTAAAATAATGTAGTTAATGTGCATGAAGTCACACAGCGCAACTGAACACACCAGCGTGAGGGGGCTCTAATGTGACATTGTTTTATGTTAAAAAACAAAGTTCAACCATACAAAGTATAGTATAGCCACTGGCACTATGTGAAAATAGCAGTGTATAAGCATCATCACACTATCTGAACAACCTGGAGCAAACATGAGAATTGCACAATCATAAAAAAGGTATTTATTTACTCATTACAAAATAATATGGAGTGTCATAAAATATCAGATAAAATGTATTCAGTAAAAGAAGAGAATCTGACTTTTGTGCCCTGTATGATAATTGACAGATTGATATTTTAAGCCTTGTAGATATGCTTAGTGCAGCATTCCCAAAACCTGTCCCCAGTGCCTAGCAGTGTAGCAGATAACCTACCTCATGGGCCGATGGGGTAAGAATGCTGTTTAGCCTACATACCTCCCAGCATACAGCATAATGTATTTAGGTAATGGATGTACCTCTGTCAGCAGTGGCATCCCTACACTTTTCAGGGCCTGGGGGGGAAGTTGGGGAATGCTGGCGGCGCATCTTACCAGAGGTGGTTGTTGGTGGCACATGTTACCAAGTAGGGGGGGCATTGAGGGTGCATGGTGCCTCTGTCCGGCACCCGCCCAAATCACTGACATCACTGGTTGCCAGGAGCTGGGCGGGGCACCAGCCAGAGCATCCTGCTCAGCTCCTGACAACCAGTGACATCAGTGAGGTGGGCGGGACACCAGCCAGAGCATCACAGGCTGCTAAGAGCTCTTGCTGCCCCTTCCCCATGTGACCCAATGAGATGCCACCAGAAGCAACTGTCTCAGGCTGCCTCATTAAAGGGATGGCCCTGCCTGTCACATGATGCGAACCAATAAGAATTTATATGCCAAAAATACATTGGTAAATCCAGAATTGTTGTTTTCCACCACTACCTTTCCAATATAGTTACTATAAGAGAAAGATTGTAGTGCAGAAAAACACTTTTGGTAATTTAATGGTACCTTTTCCTAGATATCTGTACGTCAGACCAAAAAGAGGGACGACTGCAGAGAAAAGAGGGGCAGAGGGATTTACAGTAGTTCCAAAGGAAAGACAGTCCCTTCAAATGAGGGACAGTTGGGAAGAATGATTTAGCCACCTGTCTGGATAACCATGAAGCATGATCTGTTGGTAGGAAAGGTGTCCTACTGTGAGAGTGAATACCACTGATCGGGCACGTGGTACTTTTGGGGAAACTCTGGTCTAGTGGAATCTTTTGGTTATGGTGCCAGGGCTCTTAGAGACAAGGGTAGGTTGGAATCTCTCTTCATTTTAATATAAGCTTAAACATCTTTCATAACTATGCATTAACAATTTCCCATTCTAGAACACGGGTATGAGATATGGCATACTTTTTGAATACCATAAGTGCACCATGTTTAATGTACTCTTTGTAACTCCACATTCACTTTGTGTTCCAGGTCTAACATCACAGTCTCAAAGTGTTCCTGTGATCAACAGTGTAGGCAGCAGTCTGACAACATTACAGCCTGTCCAGTTTTCGCAGCAAATCCATACCTCACACCAGCAGCCACTTGTACAACAGGTCCAGAGTCACATGACACAAAACCCTTTCATGGCCACAATGGCTCAGCTCCAGTCTCCACATGGTAAGAGTGTAGCCCTAGGAAAATAAGAATGCTTGCCTAAATCAGACATGTCTTAACTGCTATATCTCCCCTGCAGCTCTGTACAGCCACAAATCAGATGTTGCCCAGTATGCATCTGCTAGCTTCTTCCCACAGACCATGGTCATCACCGACACATCAAACTTGGGAACACTTACTAGCCTAACACCCACCAAACAGGTAATTCCATGTTAGTCACACGCAAGATAGGTATTCAAATATGGAATAATGTATGGATGTGTGTAATATACGGGTGACACCAGGCATAAGGCAGAGTGAGAACCTTACCTCGGAGGGATGGCATTAAGTTGGAGTGGTCTTCTGCCTGACAGCATGTACATTATGTATTCTATGCAGCAGGAGGAGGAGGCAAAGTGAATCAGCGGTGTGGGGTGCAGATTTTTACAAGGTAAAGCTGGCCATACGCTGGTAAAATTTCATACAAACGTACAGTATGTTAGAATTCATTCATCAGAGCATACAATCTTGCCATCAGGTCTATTGAGAATTTTGCTCAAAAGCCCATAGAATTTGGTACAGGCCTGTTACCAGAATGGAATCCCAGATGCATTAAAGGAGAATTATGAGGCGAGAGATTTTCACTCAGCCCCATAATCTGAGCCGACCTGTGACAATGAAACTGTCACAGGTCGGCTCAGTAGATCGAGGCACATTTTCATTGACCACCAATGTAAATGGATACTCCAATTTAATGTCTGGCCATAATTATTATACATTTAATTTACTGAAAATTATTTTGTCATATAGAGCAGAGGGTGTTAAAAACAAAAATCACTGAAAGGTGTCAAATACTCTAGGCATGCCACATTCCAGGTTTCACTATACAACTGTATATATGTATATATGCTTGTCTTTGTTTGTTTTTTTACTATCTGTACAGCAACTTGTAGAGTTGTACACCAATTTGAAGGTTAATATAAGCAGTGTAGTAAGTTCTTGCTCTGAGTGCCCCCTAATGGACAAAAGGTAGAATTCCACAGAGAACAATTACTTCTTAAAGTGACAGTAAGCTCTGGAGTTAAAGGAGAATTATGAGACGAGTGATTTTCACTCAGCCTCATAATCTGAGCCGACCTGTGACAATGAAACTGTCACAGGTCTGCTCAGTAGATCCGTAAGTGAGCGAACACATACCGACCCTCGCTCACTTCTCGTTCTGTCCGTGCAGAGTCGTGACTGTCACTCACAGCTCCCTGCAGGGATTTCCCCCCCCCCCTCCCCTGTCCGATCCTCCAGCGCTGACTGTCACTCACGCAGCTGGGTAGATCCAAACAGAATTGTCGGGATCCGTTCCGGCTGCGGCGTCTCAGTATACCGCGTATACTGAGCTTTGGGTGACGGGAGGACGCTAGTTTGTGTCCTACCGTTACCCTTAAGAGAACTATGGGGAAAAGCCCCAATGGTTCTCCTTTAAACAGGTTTCCTATGTGCCCAGCACATGCTCATTACAATAATATGATTTTTCCTGAACGTAAAATCACATTCACAGTTAGAATTTCGTTTGTTGAGGTAAGAAACAAGACTTTCCATCCTGCTACTTCAATTTTCCTTATCACTACAGTCGGAAACAAACATTGATTGTATCCCACTAACCATTAGAAAAGTGAACGAACGTTCTGAAAACAAAACTTTTCAAATGAAATTCTACTGGTGTATAGTCAGTGTCATCTGAACGGCAATGGTGCCAGTGGTTGGGGGGTGTACTATTTTATTTACATTTACCACCAATGCTAAGGGGAAGGGGGACAATGTTACTTTTGCTGACCAGCAATTCTGAGGGGAAGGGGGACAATTTTATTTTTGCTGACCAGCAATTCTGAGGGGAAGGGGGACAATTTTATTTTTGCTGACCAGCAATTTTGAGGGGAAGGGGGACAATTTTACTTTTGTTGACCAGCAAAGCTGAGGGGAAGGGGCTGATTTTACTGTCACTGACCACCAATGCTGAGGAGAAGGGGGGACAATTTTATTGACCATAAACTCTGGTGGGAAGGGAAACTTTATTTACTGACACTGACCACAAATGCTGGGAGGTGGGGGATTTTTTTTTCTACTACCACTAACCACTAATCCTGGGGAGGGAAATGTTTTAAATACTACTGCTTGTGGCACAGCGGTTAGGAAGTATTTTGAAGGTAATTGGACTGCGGAATACCTGTGCAATTTATAAATCAAGTAGGCTTTGACCATGCCCCCATGCTAAAATGTGCATATTTGGCCTGAAGAATACTAATAAACCTGAAAACATTCCGCAGCCCATAGAAGTATTCGGGCAGTTTTAAAGCCACCCTGATCACTTCTACATAAAAGCCAGGCACCATTTCAGTGTTCGTCTCTGGCAGTAGAAGTGTTAACCTGGGTATACACGGAACAAATTTTGGCTGATTTTAAATAAACTAGCCAAATTTTGCTCAGTGAACGGTCCAATGAGCCCAACATGTTTTGATTTAAAAATCTAAAAGGAGCCAGGCAGAAAATTGTTGGCCGAACAGCTACTACATCCAGTTAGATGCAGGCACTATCCAGGACAGCAAGTGGGGACGACTGACAAAATACAAAAGCCGCAGTTGGAGATTCCTCTATTTTTGCTGTTTAATGTGGACAGAGGTATCTGTAAGATTTTTTTCCTTCAGCTTGAAGGCAGAATGAAATAACTAACAGTGTATGGTCCAACTCCTGGTAATATATAGTATTTAGAAATAAAGTGCCAGGAACCATGTACAGTCAAAAAGCTTGTCCTGTCATTGTCAGAACAGCAAACTAATAATGAGAAAAATAGCCCAAAATGATGTCATGTTTGGGAAAAGGAAACCAGCGCCTACATTGTTGAATGTATTCTGTCATCAGGTCCACTCCTTGCACAGTAGTGCACAGGAAGACTCTCAGGGCTCCCATCTCCAGAGCCAAGACTCCAACATCCTGCACCTCTCTTCAAGTCACCGCCTCTCTCCCAGTCCATCAGGTAAGAATCACACTGCAGTTTAAATCTGCATTGAACTGCTCCTACCATAATTATGTCAATAAAATAATCATATAATGTATGTAATGTAATGAAAGTTATTTTATTTTATCATACAGTGCCATCCAACACATTAATCAATAATTTACAGAGATATAGAACGATTCCTCTCAGTTCCTGATTCAGTGTACAAGCGAATATCTGTAGCATACATTATCTAGGACCAATTGAACTGGAACTGGATTCACTTATACTTTTGGAGTATAGGAGGATACCAGAATACACTCAGAAACCTATGGCAACAAAGTGGAATCAGCCCAAGACCAAACCCACCACTACAAGCTCACTCCCGTGATGGACTACAATCTCATGTTTAATTTACTAATTTGCACTGAGATTGTAGTTTATCACAGGAGAGAGCTTGGAGCGGTGACTACTTTACAACACACACAAAACAAAAGTAGCCACCCTCCAGAAGGAAGGACAGTGTCACCACCAATTCAGAGATGATTTAAGGATCTACAGCTGAGTGATACACAAATAAGATACATGAAAGCATTTTTAAGATTTAACTCCTGAGTTTTGAAGTAGAACTATATACTTGCATTAAAAAAAAAAATGTGCAGCAGCACTTAAGTTATAAGGGTACAGTATCTGCCCTTCCAGGTTTTGCTATGCCCCACAAATGCCTGCCAGGGAAGTCCACTTAGTGCAGCTTCCTGTGATGGAATGGCAACAATACTGCACTGTTCATAAATTCAGAGCAGAGATGCAACACGTATGTAGATGTTGCTGGGAGTGTGGATATCATTGTCAATGCTGATTCATAAGCCTGCAGCTTGTCAGTCTGTATCTGCCCACACCTAGTTCTGTCCACTGCTTTCTCAATTGATAGCGCTGTCTCTGTTGCTGAATCCCTCCCAATGTGAGCTACAGTGTCTGGAAAGGTGAGTGTGTGAGACACAAATTAAGGTGGATTTGCTTAGTCAGGGAAAGTAAAGAAAGTTTTTTTTCTTCTTCACTTTATGAGGCTTGTACATCACATTGTAATTGGATTTGGTTTTTGTTTAGACTGTCATACTGGAGACTTTAGTTGTACTTTTAACCACGCTAGCAAAGTTTACCTGCTATTCGAAAGACTAATTTTGAATGGTGTTTTATAATGCAATAAATAAGGTTTTGGAAACATGGGGAGTGACAGTATAACACTATGCCATGTACAACCATGTGACGTCTAATGGACTTCTAATGGATGTTTGAGCATGCGGCCTTAGTGTTAAATTGTCTCCATACAACCAAAACCCCACAGCCATATCACCATGTAAGTGTGTGCAACATGGCGTCTTCTTTCTGTAGTATGTTGTTCATGCATTGTGTGCCAGTGCCAACAGTCTCCAAATTTACTAGATCAATTCTTAGCAGGTTATTAACTTTTCTTATGGCTCATATATGTGACGGAATAACAATTAGGTTTTTTCAGAAGGTGCCCATAATAAACATTTTCTATGTAAATACATTTTTACTGTACGGAACAGCTATAACAAACATTAGAAAATAGCATGCTCCTTTGTATGTATACAGCAAAAACATGGCTAGCCATTGCCTGGCAACTTAAAAACGGCTTGTTTTTTAGCCTAGTGCTAAATCATTATTTGTGAATGCACAGATATCTGGCATGTTTGAACATGAGTGCAGACATACAACAGGGAAATCTACATGTGCACATCAATGCTACACTTGATGTGCACATGTAGAATAGTAATTAGTAATTCTGCTATGCTGTTCTAACAACATTAAGGCAACCATGGTTCTCTATAAAAATGTCCCAGGATAGACATATGTGTAAAAGGTAAATTTAGCCGCTTGCACCCCAATCCTGAGATATGACCCTTGAAGTCCACTGGGGCACCTACCTGTCTGGGAGTGTCGATCTCACTGGTTCCAGGATACAGTAGTGATATGGAGTTCAGCAGGAGGAACCAGTGAGAGCTGCAGGGACCCAAAAGAGATCCACACTCCCAGAAGGTTCATTTTCGCCAACTCCTTTTTAAGACTCCATGCAAGGTAAATATCAGTGTATCTCCCCATCCCTACCCCTAGGGAGCAGCAAGTGCTGTGCAAAGCCTCCCATATAAAGCAACACTAAACTCAAGAATTAAATAATAAAAATAACTTGTATTATATAAATAATCAATGACTGTGTACCTTTTTTTGTCATCGTTCAGCTCTAAATGCTCCAAAATTCATTTTATTTTTCTCCATCCACAACTTCCTGCCAGAGGGGGGCACATTTTCTTCTCCATGGTCCCTATGTGTACTGAAAGGTAGCCACCCTCTGTGCTGTTTCATGTGAAGGACCACAACATGCTGAGGACGTGTCTTCTCAGTCTCCGCCCACAAATCCTCCCCTTTCTGCAAGGAGCTGGGATTTCTACAGCTCTCCCACACTAATATATGATCTTTGATTTCTCTCCTCCTGGCTTACCAAGGAGGGAGTGTGGGGGGAGCTGCTTGTGAGGAGATCCAGCATGTGAGCTGTCACCAGCCCCATACTTTCTTCTGAGTCTCAGCTCACATGCTGAATCTGGTCACACGGCATATGGCTCCTACATTTGTAATAAAGTTGCTTTTCTGTGTAGATTGTTGTAAAATTGTTGTATATGTGATTGTTTGTTGCATTTTTGATCATTAAGAGCATTGCAGAGATTACAAGGAATGAAATTGTCAGTGTGTTTAGTTAGGAGGGGGGGAGGAGGCAGCTGTGTGCAGAGATGATTCATCTGGGCCTCATGGGAGTTGTAGGCAAAGAAAGATGTGCACATGACCAGAATCAACGTGCACGGCTCTTACTAAGCGACAGGAAGTGTGAGTGGAGATAAGAGCAACGGGAGCGGGCGCAGCAAACTTTCTAAAGGGATTAAAATAGTAAGACTTTATTTTAAAACATAAATAAATGTGGCTTTGGAGAATGTTCATTGTGTAGATGTGTATAAGGAGGAAAAAAGCTGAGGGTTTTGTGTCGCTTTAAGTCAAAGTCTGTACGTGGGTATACGCCAGTACTTGTGTACTCCACACACACATACGCAGCTGTCTGAATAGAATAGTCAGTCCGGGAGATTCCTCTGTCCACGCTGTAAAGCGTGGAATGGGAAATCGAGTGATTTTTCCATGGGCTGGACAAGGGATGGATAGCTTTACAGATGTAATTTTGGAAATTTATGTTATCAGGTGACACCCACACAAATGGAGGTCACATACTCCCCTATACCTGGAAACAGTATGTATTGGTGCCACCTGCAAAGAAGGAAGATGCGGCAGGGGAGTGTTGGCAATGTGAGTATCGGTGGCACCGGGGGGCTCGTTTGCTAAACCACTGTTACTTTGCCCTAAATGAGAATGGAAATATACTCTGCCTGTCCAAAACCTATTGGATAATACGTCTAGGTTCAGCAACATCATGTGCCCAAAAATGGGGTCAGCTGCCTATCTGAATATACTGAATGAAGAATATTTGGGATGTGGTAGAGAAGACTTTATGCAGCAGTCCAACTCTCCCATCCTCGCTACAAGATCCGAGGGGGGGCCTAAAACAAGACATATCCAACTCTGTTAAATTGGTTCTTCTGGCTTGAGGCAAATTGGGTGAGGGCAGGGGGCACTAATTTACTCCACTACCAGGAAGGGGAGAAATCTGGGGGTGCTTTGAGTGTCCTTGAAGGAAGGCATTGCAACAAAAAGATATGAGCTGACAGCTCCTGCTGTTTACTACAGTTTATCGTTTATACCATGTGAGATTGGCACACATTTGTTTTAAAATTAAGGTTGAGTTGCACAATGAAATGGAAAACTAAAAGGTACCCATTATAACTACAAAATGTATTGTGAAAACAATTTCTAAATGTCAGAAGACTAACGCGTTGATCTTGTGACCTTCTCTCCTGCGCAGCATCTTCAGCCAGTTTGGTACACTACCAGAATTCCAGCACCCCTGATGGCCACAGCCACCTCCTGTCCCCATCACATGGCAACATAGACAATTATATGTCTTCACAGATGGCATCTTCCTCACAATGAAATGACTTTAACCTTGGCACAGATCTACACCTGCTAACAGCATCCCTGGACTCCCTCTGATGTAGTCAGAGCCAAACAGCTAAATTCAAAGAGGGGCGGACAGAGAGGACACTGTGAAGATTATCACCTTTAGATGAATAGACTTGCACTGGTCAAGCCTGCAATGAACTTTGTGAAATGGGCGCACAGAGTGAAATGTCAGAAAACCACAGTAATGGATGTTACTATTCTCCTATTTTCTTTTTTATTTCTCATGAAACTGTGTTCATAAAACACTTTTTTGGTGTCAGTCGTGGAGGAGAGAATGAACTACCTGTCACAGAGACCTCAATTCTGTTCTGACCTGCTGCCCAGTTGATCACAATTATTCAGTTATCTTTTTCTAGCCACTGGATTCACACTGCTGCCTTGTGTCCCTTTGGTCTGAGTCCATCTCCTTACACAGCTGTGTGTCCTTTTAAAAAATGCTACATTCATATCCCTGCGATAAGTCCTAATGGTCTGAGTTGGTCTCATCAGAAATCTGTTTGTTCTTCCTCTTCTTTTTCTTTTTAAAGCCATTGGTTTCATGTTCTTGCCGTAAGTCCTTTAGGTTTGAATGACTCTCAGTGTTCAGGTCTCTCTCTATGCTAGATTCTTGCTCTTGCCTTATACCTTGATGGTCCGTATCAGCCCCTTCATTCTGCCCCTTGTCCTTTTTCTTCTTCTTTTTGTGTTTCTTTGTAGGCTGATCATTTCTGAGTGTGTCTGAACTCTGACCTGGGACTGGATGTAAAGCACTGTGTTTTAGAATGTCTAACCCTGAAACAGCTGCCTCGCGGCACCTTCGCTCATTTTCCTCTTCACTGTCCTCACTGCCAAACACAAAATGGAAAATACTGTAAATATTTAAGAGGTGAAACATGCATAGAACGCATCATATTTATACACAGGATTCACGAGTGTGTAAAGCAGATTGAAAGCTGACAGCTCTACCATCACTCCAGCATGAGTAACAATGGTCTGTTTTTAGTCACAAGGGAAGTGTCAGATGAGTCAAATCCCAACCTTCCATGTACAATGTACTACTATTACACTAAAGTGCACAGGACCAATCAGAACCAATCCGGACTCAAGTGCTTGCTGGAGAATGCCAAGCAAGATTCTGAGAATTGTAAAGAGCTTGTTGTTTGCCAGTACATGGACTACTGCCAGTTAAGATGGCAACATCATGCATATTAGAAGGGGGACTATGAAGCAAAGTGGATAGATGTAGCACTTGTCTAGATAAGCACTGTGTACCACAATAAAGTTCTGCTGTGTGCCTGAAACAGTCCCATGGAACTGACTAGGGATGCCCTAATACCGATACTAGTATCGGTGCCGATACCGAGTATTTGGGCGAGTACTCGAATCAAATGCTCTGATACTTACTTCCGATACTGGAACAAGTGCCAAGGGAGCATGGAGCCGGCTCCCTTTCCAATCAGAAAACCAGGCGGTGGCCACCCTGGGAACAAGTGAAGCCAGCTTCCTAGCAAATCAGGAAGCGGGTCATGACGTGCCGCCTGGCTTCCTGATTGACTAGGAAGCCAGTTTCACTTCTTGGTAAGCAGCCTGGCTTCCTAATCAATTAGGAAGCCGGGCGGCATGTCATGACTTGCGTCCCGTCTTCATGATTGGTAAGAAAGCAACGCTACCTAGCAACAAGTGACAGCGGCTTCCTAGCCAATCAGGAAGCCTGGGAGGCGGATCATGACGTGCTGCCCGGCTTTCCAATTGGCTAGGAAGCCGGCTTCACTTGTTGGTAAGCAGCCTGGCTTCCTAACCAATTCGGAAGCCGGACGGCACGTCATGACTCGCATCCGCTTCCGGATTGGTAAGGAAGCCACGCTACATAGCAACAAGTGACAGCAGCTACCTAGCCAATCAGGAAGCCTGGGAGGCGGGTCAAGATGTGCTGCCCGGCTTTCTGATTAGCTAGGAAACCGGCTTCACTTGTTGCCAGGCAGCCTGGCTTCATGACCAATCAGGATGGCACCTCAAGACTTGCCATCCAGCTTCCTGATTGGTCAGGAAGACATGCAGGCTTGGCAAGTGAAGTCGTGTTCTTTTGCTAGAACACAGGCTTCACAGGCATTCAGGAAGCCGGGTGAGGGGTGATCCGCCGCTTGAATTCCTGATAATCTGGGCACACGGCACCGGTACCGATACTGGTGAGTATCGGAAAAAAAATATCGGTACTTGAACTCGATACCGCAAAACCGGTATTGGTGCATCCCTAGTACTTACTAATTCCATATGAACAGTGCATTCTAGACTTTTACTTGCCTCTGCCTCCAGTAAATCCATCTTTCAGAGGTAACTACAAGCCCACTGAAATTGCAGTGTGGGTGGAATTATCTGCTGATTTCACCGAATATAGGGGGGTGGGAGGGATAAAAAATGAAATGCTATATCTTTACAGAATTGTGTTCAGCATACAACTGTACCCCACACAACTAACACATAGAACTGAGAAAATAATCTTCTGTACATATATTACTATTTATATAGTGTTACATTGTATGCTGCACTTTATACTTCTATAGTAGAACAACCGAACAATAAACAGAATTAAATTTTTGTTTAGTGATTATATACTGCTACTAACAGCATGAAGAATATTGGGGGGGGGATTTATCAATATTAGAGCAGAAGAATCTGGAGCAGGTGCCCATGGCAACCAATCAGCTTCTCTCTTCAGTTTGTTCAGTTAAGCTTTAAAAATGAAATATAGAAGCTGATTGGTTGCCATGCACAGCTGCTCCAGATTTCGTCTGCTCCAGTTTTGATAAATTCCCCTCTCTGTATCTTCTTTATCTTATTTCTAAATTCATTATATTATGTAAGGTATTGTTATCAAACTTACATGTAAGCTGTCACATACAGTTGTTGCAGTATGAATGTGAACAATCAAGATATGAAAATAACATGAATTACTTGAAAGTCAAAAGGTACATAGAGTGCCATAAAAAAAAAAAAGTTGAACTCTACACAGCTTAAGGAACAACTTTACCTTTAGCGGCCTATGGATCAGCTCTACTCCACGGGACTGCTACAGGCCACCATAGTTACAGCTAGCCATTGAAATGAATATGTAGTATGAAGTCAGAACCTCATCAGGGGAAAGATCACTGGATTGGGGAGACTGATAAGTATTATTACAGGTGGACAGCAATAGGGGTTGGGGTGGTTAAAGCAAACCTGTATGGGAAACTACACTTTTTTTAAACTGCATTCCTACTTTTTATAAATATATATTGCTATTATATGTGGATGACTTGGAAAAAACCTTGTCAGCTCACCTGCTAGAATATGCTGCCTTGCGCTTTGGAACGGTAGAAGGTGCCACAGTTCTGGGTTCCCCAGGAATGGATGTGCTTAATAACCGAAAACCTTTCAAAAACAGAATCAGAAGAGAGTATGAGAGATCAAATTTTACCGAGTACGACATATATTAACTAGGAGAACAAGTGCATTCAAAAGGCAGGACAGTGACAAAAATGTTATTAACAATACAAAGCTTTAACACCTGGATAGGGATCTTTATTGTAGCCATGTGACTGTTACATTTTATTCTTATTGGACTAAAAATAACTGTCACTTATTTTCTAAATAAGTATCTTTATCCTGGTGGTAAAGCAAGCAAACCTCAAAACACACCATAGCACAAAAAATACATCATAGGCAACTTCACTTTCTCCACTATATGCCTGGCATGACTTGTCCATTAGAGGTCTTATAGAAAAGAAATTGCTCTAGGAATGTCTAACGTATACCACAGAGAGATAAAAGCAGATACTTCTGTGTTCTGTTTAAGCAGAGGTAACAGACTATAAACATACAAATAAAGATTACAATGGAAAAGATGTATGGCTGCAGACATGTTAGGTCATCAATTATTTCCTTTGCATTTTACTTAAAGTGTATTTAAAGCTAAAACGTTTTGGACAGAGCAGCGAGGAGTCAGTTTCTTGACGTCTTTGTCTCCACTAGGGTGACTTAGGACCTGTTCACACCATGTCTGTTGAGCTGGGTTTTTCTGCATACCATCACACATGTATGGTATGAATAGGGTACACTGTAACACATCTATGTGAGGGAAAATCTAAAATTTGGAGTTGTCACCAGAACAAGAATGCAGGGGTTAATGCAGAGGAAAGCTTGTACTGGGCACATTTGTTTCAATGGCACCTAGATGACATTTCCTTTAATTTGGTGAGCGTTCCTCTCACTTCATCTCTTACAGGTCAGGAAGAAAATGGAGATTTCCCCAAAGGTACAAAGAGCACATTCTCTACTCTACACAAAATGAAAATAAAAGGTTCTGACTTTAGATATATTTTAACGCACCTTCATCCTCAGGTTCAGTTTTTTCTTCTGGCTCTTGCAGACTGCTGCTTCCTGGAATTTCTTTAATGCAGCTAAAAGTCACAAGAAAAACAAATATAAAGAGCATATGGTCAGACGGCCTAGGTCAAAGGGTATTAGGATCCTTTATTTACCTATCCAGTATGGCAGCAAGCTTCTTGGCCACATGTGCACGAAATTCAGGTGTAGTTTGCAGTTCATTCCCATCATGCTCATGGTTGTCAGGACGAACCCTGTGGAGACAACAGAGGATTACAGAAACACCCATTACTGTCTAATAACAATTTACAATACATGGAACAACTTGGCACCTAGTGGTTAATACTGTTGTCTTCCAGCAATGAGGACCTTGGTTCCTTCATAAAACTTGTATTTGGATTTTGCAAAGAGTGTACAAAGAGGAGGAAAAGAAGACCACTGTTCATATTTAGTTTGCCATGAACAAGGAGTACACTGTAAGTTTGTCACCAAATGGTGTAGAAAAGTGTTTCGAATAGCAGGGTGTTATAGTATAAACCCCAGCTCCTTGGCAATACAAAGTGAAAGCCATTAAAGCAGTAGTAAACCACTGTGTGCTGGGTGTGGTTTTGTCATAAAGTACAAGTAGCGCTTTACAATATAAGGAAGACATTACAATCACAATACAATTAGCGCTTTACAATATAAGGAAGACATTACAATCACAATACAATTAGCGCTTTACAATATAAGGAAGACATTACAATCACAATACAATTCAAGACAAGATGGTAAGGAGGGCCCTGCCCCTGGGGGCTTACAATCTAAAATAACACCTACCTTACAAGTGTCCCCTTCTGCAACACTGTCAGATTCCATCTTGGGTCCCCAGCCGCCACTTCCGAGTTCCGCGGAAATCCTCTCTGGCCATTGGGTTACATGCACAGGAGTTACATCGCCCCTGGCACTGAGACCGTTCATGGCATCTTAGAGATGCACCATGCAATGCACACAAAAATGAAAAAAACATTGCTGGGGGAAAGAGGGAGAGCATTTTTGTCAGAAGAGACTTTGCATGTCTCTGCTGCCAACAATGCCTACCTCCCAGTGATTTTGAATTTTTCTACTTTCGCTTTAAGAAGAAAAGAAGAGGGTGGAGAAAGAAAGGAAAAATCAAAGACATCAGATAGGTGAAAAATAGGAAGGAGAAAAGGAAGTGATGAGGAAGGGGGACATGGCACCTGGGGCACACTATATGCCCAAAATGTTTAGGTTTCCCAGAAGAACAAAAGGTAGTCAATCTAGAATGGCCAAATCTTACAGCAGAGCTACACCTCCTATCCTTTCCTTACAACCAATGAAGGTGCCATCTTGGCCTCCATTTGGATTGCAGTTGCCATGGTGCTGCACATGTGATCAGCTACGACACCAGCCATTTCAGGGCTTGAAAGTTTGGTTGAGAGCTGAAATAAGAACGCTGACAACCTTGACAATTGGCATGCCTTATAAGTTATTTTTCTTAGCAGATATGAAATTGGTGGTACAGTTATCCTTTAAGAAATTTTGGATAGGAATCAATTAATATGGCCACAAATTCTTCATTAATAAGGGTGTCTCAAAGTCTCCGATTCACTTATTTGAGGTTGAAAATACCAAAAGTAGCTCATTTTGTTTTGCATTTCATCAGAGATGTTGGTTTCTTGTATAACCACCTCAGGACCGGGGCAATTTCTTTCATTTTTCATACATGTTAAACCCAGAATTTTTGGATAGAAAATTACTTTAAACCCCCAAACAATTATATATTTTCTGAAAGTAAAAGCCCTGTAAAATAAGAATAATAAATAAAAAAGGTAGCTGCGTTTTTTATTTCACGCAATATGCACCTCCCACCCACAGTTTGATCGCCCGCACTGGAATGCATTTCATTGCAGTGTGACTCGGGTCGCCACTTAAGGACCCAGGTCAAATTTGGGTCCTGAGGTTTCACAGGTTGAGAACCACTGCCCTAGAGTGTGTCTGTACGACTGTGGCATGGACTAATGTGAACGGTACTAAGAACTCTGCAATGTGCTGAGGAGTATGTCAGAGATTTATAAACATGGAAAAGAAAAATACGTACCGTAGACTTGGTGTAATAGGAACAACAGGATCCTGCTGATGCTGAACACATTTCTTTACACCTGTAACATAAAAAGGTCCCCAATATGATAAATGGAAATGTTAGTATGACTAACTGATCATTACAAAGTTATCAAAATAAATGTCATCATTTTGGGTTCTCCAGACAGACTAAAAACAATACAGCTGTGATTGATGCCTGCCATAGACTCCACAAATCATGCTGTGTATTGAGCTAATCATTGAGATATTATAATACTCACAGAAACATTAAAGGACAAGTGCACTTTAATGCACAATGCACTTGGCCCCTTCAGCTGACCTGACTGATCCCACCTTCCTCCTGCACAGATGCAGACTTTGTGTGTACTGACAAGTCGGGCCTCCATTGTTTGTGTACATCTTGCAACAAAAGTCTCCCTCTCCTGGCCGCACCTGCACAGTACAGCCCCACTGACTTCTATGAGGCTCGTCTACCTTGGTCTTAGGGGCTGATTAGCAAAGACCTTTTGCTGCCAAGCTTTCTCTATGTGAGAGAGAGGAGGTGGCCTACACACTGGTGAGGGAATACACATCTTGCATTGGAAATGTTAGCTGTATGAGGCCTCCTTCACACCAGACACAGTGCGTTCCGGCCGGATTCTGGCCAGAACACACTGCATCGCATTGCGGCCGGCTCACTATGCGCTGCAAGCACTATTTTTCTCGGACCGGACCGCAGGCATAATGTGCCTTGCGTTCCCGTGCGGCCGATTGCATTCCGTGGCTACGGTGCCTTTCACTTCAATGGACCGCCACGCCCCCTCCTGCCCCACAACATAGTGAGCCGGCCGCAATGCGATGCAGTGCGTTCTGGCAAAAACGCACTGTGTCTGGTGTGAACGAGGCCTTAGGGATTGTCAGCACCACCTGAACTTCACTAAACCTGAAAGTGCAAGCCAGTTGAAGTTTGATCGGCCCTTCCTCCCTTCACTTGTACAGTTCACTGAACTCTATGAACAGCCTCCTGAAGTGTACACGCACTTTGTTTTGTTGAGTGCAGTGGAGAGAAAGTCTATAGCAGGGGTAGACAAACTCCAGCTGTGATGCAACTGCAAGTCCCATGAGGCATTGCAAGACTCACATAGTCACAGGCATGACTCCCAGAGACAGATGCATGATGGGATTTGTATTTCCCCCACAGCTGGAGGGCTGGAGTTTGCCTACCCCTGCTCTATAGGAACATATACATTACAGAAGGGGGAGAACGACTAGACTAAGAGAGTGCTGTAGCAACTGCCATCAGGTTGGCTGGTGTCAGCGCGTAGATGAGAACATATGGATCCCTAATGCAAAGTCCTACATTTTATGGATGCGCTCACATGTCAAACAGTGTCAGTGCAATATTTGGAGGCCACACCCCTTCATCAGCCATGCGACCACTTCATCAGGTACTGAACCCCTAGTCCCAGCTCCAGCAGATACTTGTCCAGCTCTGACTGGCAGCGAGGGTTATTAGTGATGACAATGCTGATGTCAGTACACCACTGCACAGGGTGACAATTACTCAGCAAGGAATTGACTGCAGACAAAATAGCGTTGTCACCTTGTGAAGGAAGGGCCATGGACTGGCCAGATCACCAGATTTTAATTGTAGGACTCAGTGAATGTTCACAAAAATTAAAAGGTGTCAATTCTTATTGTTGGCATTGCAATGTTAACATACAGATTTGTACTTTTGGTCAATATTTCTTTATAATACATAACTGGGTTCAATTAGAGCTAGAGCCAAAGCTTTTTTGTTTTAGTTTTGCATAGAGTAAGAGAGACAATGTGTAGCCGATACACATTGGGGGGAGGGGTGTAGAGACCATGTGGTAATGGTGCATGTTAAGGGGGTCTGGTGTCCCACCCAGGTCACTGACATCACTGGTTGCCAGGAGCTAGGCAGACGCCTCATTATAGGGACAGCCCTAGAGCAATAAAAACCTAGCAGCTTATCTAATCCCTCTCCACTCCATCCAAAACTAGAAATAAGACTTTATCTTCAGTTGCACTTTAAGCAGACTAATCATTGCAAAACGTAAATCAGGATGTAGAGCAGATAATCCATAGAAATGAATGGGACATCAGCTTCACCGGCAAGGCTCAGCAATAACCCACAAGAAGCAGATCTCTCTCACATTTCTCTGATGACAAGCAGTGGAAGTTGATTTCTCGTCATGTGTCACTCTGATTGATTACATTTCCCGCAGTTTACAATAATAACAAGACACAACACACGTGACAGGTCATTGTAATCACACTTCCGGTGTCTGTGGACCTCAGAGGTCAGCCCTCAGGGTTTCTACACCCTTGTCCCCTCACCCGGTGGCACCCATGCCGCCTCCTTCAGCCGTTCCCTCTCCCCGTCACTACTGCTGCTGTCAGAGCAGTCCTCCTGTGAATGACTCCTGCGCGCCGCCATCTTTCCCGGGTCACGTGTTCCACTCTCGTTAGGAAAGGGGTGGAGGGGGTTGACCCGGCAGTGACGTGAACGGGGCTGGTTGTGATGGTGGATGGTGATGTGTGTGAGGTGAGTAGCTGGCTGGTGATCGGTGTTCCAGGAGCCACGCAGGGAGTGAGAGGGCAGACATGCGGCCTGCTCAGCGTGGGGTTCATGGGGTAGAAGCTGGGGTCCCTCACATTCCATGAGAGGTGTGTGATGACAGCTGTCATTGGAGTGACACTATGGACAGGTGACCCCCCCCCTTTCATCAGCATTATCATGATTAGCGTGTCTGATAATCTGATTAGTCCCATGCTAATTCCACACAGTCTATAGCAAGCCATGGCAATCCCCCGGCTTACTCTGCTATATATGATTCTGATTGTTCCATATTGTACTAAACTCCAGGCAAACAGTTCATTCCATAGGTAAAATGTGTCAACAGCCTGGGGAAAGAGTTGTCTTTCTGTCCATCCAGTCCTTCGACTAACACAGCACTGCAGTATAGGTAGGGCACACGGTTGATCCCATGATTGTACTTCATCGTCTGCATTCGAGGGCAGGGGACACGTCAGGGGTCTAAGGGTAGTTGCCTGTGGACAATGAAGGAACAGAAACAGGTTGATGATCTCAGCAGACTGCTCTCTTCTCTTGTTGGAATGATCACAGTTTGTGTCTAATGATTGCTACACACATGTCACTTATTCATGTAGAAAAGTCTACATGTGTTCATGTACAAAAACATGGTAATCAGGAGTACCGTACCTTTCCAAGAGCAATTTGCTAACCAATCACTGGTCAGAATGAGCGAAGGGCACTTTCACTATCCATTCCTCACAGGCGGAGTGCATTTGGTATCACTCCGCCTGTGACAGGAGCCGGCGCTATAGAGGAGGCATCGGCTTATGTGGCTCTGCTCCCTCCGGTGCCGCCTCGCTTCCTCTATCGCTGGTTTCGTTGGCACCGCTGATTCTCTCC